GTCTGTGTCTGTGTGTTCGAGTGTGTGCTTTATGTGCAGGTCTGTGTCTGTGTGTTAGAGTGTGTGCTTTATGTGCAGGTCTGTGTCTGTGTGTTCGAGTGTGTGCTTTATGTGCAGGTCTGTGTCTGTGTGTTCGAGTGTGTGCTTTATGTGCAGGTCTGTGTCTGTGTGTCTGGCTGATTCTCCTACCTCCCCATGAGACTTCAGACAAATTCCATCATTTACAATTCACTGATTTTCTCCTTTTTGAGTACCAGTACTTGGTATCCATTTTTTATTTTTAACTGATTCACTTACATTTTGAGTAAAGAGTTAATTTTAAAAACAGGTTCCCTTTGCAAAAATACATCATTTACATACACAGTGTGGATCACTTTGAATGTACTTTCGGCAGAACTTGTGGTGCGGACCGGTTTTATTTTTAGCGGAAATGTGCTAAATCACAGACTCGCCTCTTCAGCTTTTGTTAAGGGGCTTTGATTCCCTCCGCAGGTGAAGCATGTGCCCCCCCCTTGTAGAAGCCTGCAGATCTCATTTACAAGATAGTCATTCGTTTTTGCCCAAACTAAAGCCCAGAGAACAAAATTATACATAAAAATTACACATAAAATGGAAAATTTATCTTTTCAGAAGCACAACCAAACACATTTCAATGAAAGTCAATGGCACTTTTAAGAGAAAAAAAGTCAGATGTAGAGAATGGAATTTCACACAAACAGAAGATATTGTTCTCCATAAATTTGCTGGAAGCTTCCGGGTACATTTTATCAAGGTTTTATCATCTTCTCTCTCTGTCCACATGGCTCTGAAGAGACCATTAGATCTCTGAAACATGAACGACCCCCCCATTTAACAGAGGCCAGGTGCGCGGTGAATATCACAGCCTGTGACCGTGTCCTTTAAAGGTAACGAAAGTGCGCATAACAAAGTCACGCAAAGTCACGCAAAGTCACGCAAAGTCACGCGTGCACTGTCGTCTGAACGGAACTAAACATGACCGATGTGTGATCAGAACCGGATTCTCTTGCATGATTGGGCTTGACCACCTGACAATCACATCTAATCCGAACACAAAATATCATCGACACACCTCTCAGCACGAAGGAATTCATAGACGACTGCCAGCATGTGAGAAAGTGAATAACATTACGGAGAGAACATTTCTAGAGATTCGTGTCTTGTAAGGATGAACCCTTATATCCTTTTGACCTTAATCTTTATATATTGCTGCGTGTTTAAAGCAGGTCTTTGTAGTTGTACTTGTACAAATGACAGTAAAGCTTTTGTAATCTTTTAACCTTTGAAAAAACACACACACTATTCACTATTTATCTGCATAAAGAAATGTATTACAGGACATCATCTGAAACTGCTGAAATAATCTCATGTAAATGTTTTTATTATTATTTACATATCATGTAGTTTGGCACCAAACACCACTGGTAACACTGTGCCGTAAAAAGTAACGATAAAAACGTGTCAGCATAAATAACGCCAGTCGTCAGTGACCGAGACGTGGGGATCTTACCCAGGGTGCAGTTGGTGGTGAAGTCGGGATCGAAGGCCGCAGTTCCTGCATCGCTCGGTTGGCTGTAGCCGGACGAGATCCGGAAGGGGTCCATGCGAGCTCCCACAGTGAGCCGCAGAATCACCCAGCTGGCCAGGAGAGACGAAAACAGCAAGACCAGGGTGAGAAGCAGGCAGCAGGGGGAGCAGGGGCCTTGGCGGGGGGAGCGCGTGGGGGCTGGGGCAGGGGCCAGGCTGTTGGGGGGCGGCGGGCCCGCAGAGACTCCCGATTCCGCCATCGGCCAAAGCGGGGGTATGCCCACGTTCGGTGCGCGCTGTCTGACTATAGGAGGCCGGTGGTGGTCTGATGGGAAGGAGAGGCTCCGGCAGCAGGCGGGAGCGGCTCTGCACACGACTGAGGAGGGCAGCCCAAGCGGCAGAGCGCCATACACGCCCCCCACCACCCAGCGCCGCCCCCTGCCGTCACCCTGCGCCTAATTTTGTTAACCAAATAGCACAGATTGCATTTTGGCTCCAGGCTACAGAGCGGCTTGGCCCATGTACCCCCCCCCCCCCCACTGAGTGACTCAGACACCCCCCCACGCCAGCAGCATCACCTCGTTCCCTCGTCCCCATTTCCCTCCCCCACATGTCCTCTGCGCGGAACCTCAGCCACAGTCACCTGCCTGAGAACCGCAAGTTCCCTTTACAAATTCCCGTCGCCTTTTCCACGTGGACCGCACGCCTGTCTGCTCACATGCCCGTCCTCTCGCACGCCCGTCCGCTGATTCGCACGCCTCCTGTGTTTCCGACGAGCGTGACGCTCCGCTATGCCAGAGACATCAGCCATGTACGGGCACTTTAAAAGGCTGGTTCTTATCCTTAGGTACGACCAACAGCCTTCATACGTATAAGACGAGTAATATAACTTATAATATCACTTTATTTTATATAATTATATTCTTTTTTGTTATATGTCTGTTTTTGCTCAGTTGCATGCTGTGTGTGAAGTATCTGACCATGATCAGAACAAATTCCTCAGACATGTAAATGTACACATCGAAGTAAAGTGACTCTGATTCTGATTCCAATGTGCGCTAAGAAAACATGAACGAAAGTAGAGAATAACAGCCCAGATTCTTGGCCGTAAACACACCGAGCTTCCCGATTTGTACTGCACTATTCGCACAAAAATAAGCATAAATGTTTCACCAAGACTAATTTCTTCTTTCCTATAAAAGCAAATCTTTTAAGATACTTCTGTATGAAGTACCTACTATGCCTGTGTTAACCCTTAACCGGAATGTTCCACTGTGTATGATGCCGGCCGACGTCCTCGGCTGTGATAACCGGCGTTGGCCTGAAGCAGGCATCCTCGCTCTCCGTCACTGAAACATTATGCTGCCTGTGTTAGCTGGCTCCTCGCCTCGCCTCGCCTCGCCTCGCTCCCTGTCGCTGTACTGATATCTTTTCTTGTTTCCACCTGCAGACGGTGTTTACATGCTGTTATCTGCACCTCTACTCTGTGCTGCTTTTTGGGCCTGAGAAGACAGGCTGGATAGATGAGCACCGGACATGATGAATGCAAAGAGCGACCGTGTCTGCATATCACTAAGCAAATGCGAGGTCTGAGTCTCCTCTATGTCATACCGTGTCCCGTCGCATTTCAGTTTGACACAGGTTTGCTTCAATGACTGTCAGACTATAATCCATAATATCCTGGGACATTTTTCTACAGTCTCTCCCCCCGCCAAAAAATAAACCCAGCTTTATTTACGGACTCTGCCAAGACATCCTAATGGTTTCGTAAAACACGTTGATGCACCTGCGAGGCATGCAGCTTCATTTGCATATTTGCATTCGTGCTGGAGATCAGACAAAGAGGCAGTGTAAGGTGCCCCCCCCCCGCCCCGGTGCCCAGCATGGACCAACTCCGCTGCCATGATATGTAAATCCCGGCACAGATCAGCAGCAGATCTGACAGATCTCCCGATCTCAGTCTTGAACCCGCTGTAATGTCCGGTGAACCACCAGGAAGCTCGCAGGCCGGGAAGCGTATGTCTCTCACACGACCGAAGAACAACAGACGGAAGAAGCAGATCTTTCCAGATGATTCCATCAGGTCAATACCATGACCTTATTTACATAAAGCTACTTATCAGATTCATATCCAAAGTGAGTTGAAAGTGTTTTTTTAAGTGCATCTCTCTGGACAATTTTCTGTGCCCCCCATCCAAAACAAACACTCAAAGTGAAATGTGCTGGGCTATTGGCAAACGCAAAGAGGAGCCCCGGGTGTCTGAGAGCCAAGCGACTGCCCTTCTGCTTCCTCCTACTGAGCGAGAACAGGCCCTCCCTGGAGAGAAGATGGTGCGCTCCGCAGCGCGGGGTAGATGGGGCAACTCACGCGGCCCGTCCGGGCGCGAAGGAAAACACAACAACAATGCAGACTGAGCAACAGAGATGTCATCTGCCATCTTTCTCTTTCAAATACCACAGCTGGAAAGTAGGATTATGAAGTGTAAAATTTGCTGCTATTGCTGACTGAAAGAATTATACTCGAGGATTTTTTAAAACCGGAGCAACAGTAGCAGTAAATTCCAGTGAAGGTTCACAGTCCAATTCTAGCTGGTATCTAATCCTTCCTAAAACAATATGGGCACCAGTGTGAGCAGCCAAACAATATGGCAGGGCTTAGGACGGATATTCATGTCAGCCTTCTGTGAAATGAAAAGGGCTTTTTACACATTATGACATTGTTTCTATATTTCTGCCTGTTATTACATGTTTTCTAACGATAACAATTCATTATCCCGCTACCGATTGTTCTAGAACATCCTTGAGCTGCAAGGACATCTAGAGCAGGCCGAGCGTAAATCACACCATGTCACACGGCAAGATCAGGAAGATCCATGTCAGGACTGTGACACTGACACACATACAAGAACCGTATCTGAGTCCAGAGGGAGTCTATCCTTAATCCTGAGATCCGCCATCATAGCCGGCCAGACGTCTGTGCCCCCCCCAGTTATGCAGAACATCCGCTAAAGCAGCACAAAGGAGTCCTCTATATTTATTTACTGCAGTGTATGAAGATGCAACAATATATTCTTTTTAGCAGATGCCTTTATTCAAAGTGAGATACATGATTATTTTTTTAAGAGAGCAGCGTTAGTCTGTCCCTGGAGCAACTGGGACTTAAGGACCAGTCTGCTGATGCTGGGATTTGAACTGGAAACCTTCTGATCACAAGCACAACATCATTAGCAACTGAGCCACACACCAACCCCACAGTGAGTGGGAGTACAACATCGGGGGGGTAAAAAACTGTTACATATGTGTTGTTTGTCCGTAGGGTGCTGAAAATAAGCATTTCACCGGTCAGTCTCCGTGGTGACGAATCATTATCATTCAATAACCGAAACACTTCCAACATACCACATTCATTAAAATGGAACCTGCAGAGAGAGCCGGCCTCACAAATCCACTGCCAAAATGCGGTGTCGCATGCTGCGGAGGTGACGGCACGCCTGCCAGTCGGGACGCCGGTCCTCGGCCTCTGGCTAACGGGCCGCAAACTACAATGGGTCACAGGACCGGAGGCGTCCCCAGCCTCGGAGGAGAGGCTGAAACAGACCCCTTGTGTCCGGCCTCTCTGCAATAACCATATGTAAATGAAAAAGGCGGTGTCCCTCTGTCCTTGCAGGCATCATGAGCTAGAATAAACACAGCCGTCCGCGCTGTGCATGTGCTGATCATTAATATTACAAATCGCGCAGCAAGTCTTTAGGATCCAGGGGCCTCGGCAGACTCGCTGAAAATCCGTCATGTTGGGAGCCCTCGCTTGGACCAGACCCAAGCTCAGGAGGTCGTGCCGACCGCACCTCCTCAGGCAAAGCGCTGGATGCGATGTAAGCGAGCTTCTCCGCACGTTCATACGCCTTGCGGACGTAATAACGAGTAGATGTGGAAGATGTGGTTACAAGCAAATTCTTTATGCTGGATCTTTAGAGGAAAAGGCAATAATGAACCTAGCTGCACAGTTTCTGGGAACAAAAAGGACATGTATGTACAGCCATTCGCTCCGTTAAATAAATCTGTTTAGTGTCAATAGACACAGTGTGGCCTTTGTGTGCTCAACATACAGACGCATTTATACAGACCGAAGCCCATGTTTTCGCCTCATGGAGGATTCGCTTCATTTCCTTGGTGCTTGTTTTCACACGTGTGTCTAAGGGTCACGGTTCTGTGTGTGTGTACTCAGCGTGGGTGCTGTGCCTGTCTGTGTGTGTGTACTCAGCGTGGGTGCTGTGCCTGTCTCTGTGTGTGTACTCAGCGTGGGTGCTGTGCCTGTCTCTGTGTGTGTATTCAGGGGGGTTCTATGCCTGTCTGCGTGTTTGTACTCAGGGGGGTGCTGTGCCTGTCCCGGAATCAAAGTCCCGCGATCTTGGCCGGTACTCTGGTCGCTGTAATCTTCTGTGAACGCCTCTGTGTTAAAAGGCCTGATTACACCGAGATCTGACCGACAATTATGTCCACAGTGAGCAACAAATGAGCAGCTAGATGGAGAGAAAAAAAACAGACCTGCAATCAGTCCGATCTTATCCGGCGCTGTATGGAAATCGTGCACAGAATCGACACGCTCGAAATGACACGGAAACAAACTACAAAGAGCTGTTAAAAAGGGACGAAATACTGATTAGTGACATTAAGTGTGTCTGTCCAGGGCGCAGGGTCCCGGACTGAGGGAGGGAGCGATACCTTGCAGATAAATCGATGGCTTATTTGCAATCTCCCCGCCCCACGCTTCCTCTCACGTCCCCGTCATGATAAATCCTGTGATGGAGGAACCTGGCTTTTTCTTTAACACAAATCCTTTACTTAAACCATTAACTAACTCCTAATTCCTACACCATATGTCAATTATTTACAAGAAGAGCCAAGACAGAAACAAGCAGAGCAGCCGCAAACTCAGACAGGAATCTCCAAACGGCACATTCTCCGCTGAGGTACCCACTGTTTATAACCAAACCAGATTCCCCATCCCGCGTCCGTGGGATAAATCACATCACTGGTTCCCAGGCCGATATGGAGAAAATGTGTCTGTAAATTGGATTTTTTTTTTTTTTGGTCGCACGTACCCAGAATGA